AATGTTCACCACATTAAACAACATTTCTGTGCAAATAGTCGGAATAAAACGAGTGCCTATACCTACCTGTCGTGCAGCATAGTAATTACCAGAACTACTGCCAACTAAATTTTTACACAAACTGTATAATTTGGCTACTTTTGTATACCGCACGGCTTCTGTATGGCCCGATATGGCTTTTATGTTTATTGATGGTGTATGTAGATTGTGTCTCGAGTACCGATAATCACTGGCACATGAATAGGTTCTTTATGTAAAAGCATTTACGATGCTACAAAAATATCCATATACACACACGTGTGTTTATGGAGGTCAGTTTCTGTATTTTAACACTGATGAAACAGTCCAGGAATTGGAGTGGTCCCTATCCAGTAGACCTCCAGTATCCGAAGGCCAACACTTGTAGACCAACAAATTAGGACCTCACCCTGTGATCCCTATGACCAAACTCTACGATCACTCGAGTAAGACCACACTCGTAAGACCATTCTCGTAGGACTACACCTATGGGAATACACTCGTAGGTCTCACATACCTTCAGTACGTATTTTAAAACACCAAAGGAAATATATCTAGCTCCTGAAAACTAGTTTCTAAATAATTATATTTTGATATTATCTATATGTACAATTATGCTTCCCAACTCATATTTTGTAACTTCAGAGCGAATCGCTTTAAAACCGTGATGAACTGAGGCGAATCTTCACAGAGTGGTGACCATCGTTCACTCCTTCTCAAGGGGTTCGACCCTGAACTATATCACTGACCAGGTGTAGAGTGGGACCGCTGCCACCTACCACAACAAAGTCTTTATTCGTGGAGGTTAGCAACAAGTGGAAGTTTGGTGATGCTCATAAAAGTCGTCCCCATGGATGATTTAACAGCTGAGATAAGAGTACTGGTTTTGAGGACACAAGGACGTCCACACAACGAACGAGCATTTGGCTATAAGACTTCATTTTGATTTTGACCATCGGGGCTCATTGTCGTGTATTTGACCAGGCTGCGTTTGACCAGAGTTCGCGTCATTATAGGTAATTTGAACCTACATCATTGGATCACATGACAGTTGACTACCGGAAATTGAACTACAAATTCTCTAATGAGAATTTGTTCACAGAAGCATTTAACAAGAGGTTACCTGATTAAAAGGCATTTTGCTTCGGATTACAAGATGTAGTTTCATTTTATTCGTGGGTAGTAAGAGTTGTTTTCTGATTGCTTGTGCTTCCAACGTATAGAATACAGCTATTATTCGCTTTGGCCTTTGCTTCAGCTTAGGAAAGAAATCTTGAGGGTTCCTGAAGACTGTAGACTCCTTGTGTAGAGCCGTGACATATTGTTTCACAAGTCTTCAAGCACCTACAAGACGTATTTCCTAAGCTGAGGCAAAAGCAAAAGTTTGAGAGAAATAACCCATTTTCTATACTTCGGAAGCATTAACCAGTCTGAAAATAACACAACTCGGGAACAAAAACAATTGTTACAAGGTGTTAGTTTACAATCTAACACATTGTGATCAAAGTTTACAATCTAACACATTGTGATCAAAGTTTACAATCTAACACATTGTGATCAAAGTTTACAATCTAACACATTGTGATCAAAGCGTCGTGAGGAAAACGGTAATCTTTTGGCCAAGCTAATGTGACTATATAGCACTGGGAAGGGATCAGGATAAGGATTTGGGATGGAAAGGGGTAAAAGGGGATGGTGCCAAACCACTTCGACGGTCGGGGATTAAACACCGACCTACATGAAGCGAGACCATCGTTCTACTGCCCAATTCAAAGGGTTAGGCGTGTAAAGCCAGAAATCATAGGCAAATATGTATAGTTGGATTACTGTAGGTAATACATGCTCATGACTGTATACCTGCATGCAGCCCATTGAACGGGTGTGTGGATCTTGTGTAGTAACTGTAACTGGCTCACTGTAGATATAAATGGCTCTGTGTAGAGACTGCTGATTAGAGCCATTTCTTGAACCACTTGTGATATAAAAGTCTCCTAATATATATATCATTTTATTGCTAACTTCACATGATTGTTACCTATCTAAACTAACGTTGGAGATTCATTTCTTAAGCTCATTATGTGCCTCTGTAGTTTTTTCCTATTCCGTCCCACGGGATGGGTATAGGGTGCATAGTAATTGAACACACTTTTAAACTAAATATATACAAAGCAATGTAGACAACGTACACAATATGTATTATACAAAACTGTGAATAAAATTACTATCAAGGATATCATAGATGCATCCCATCACTGATACAGAGATACATCTCTTTATACAGAAAATCAAATATGCAAATTACATTAGTGGTAATTGCACAGCCATTCAAGACTGTTGCTTTCAGCGATTCACGGTAGCCAGAACACTCTACCCTAGGCAGGCAGAAGCTCTCAGCTGGTGAAAAACTCTGTCGTAAAATTCAATTAGAACTTCAAGAGGGGAAAAAATTAATAGCGTGCAAAACAAAGGCCATTGAACTAGCCTGACGAAGAAATATTCATCTGTACGAACGTACGAGACATTAAAGGAACATTTCTGTGCAAATGGTAAAGATAAAATGCGTCCATATACTCGCTAGTCTTGCAACATAGCAATTATCAGAACTACTGCAAAGGTTTTTCTCTTTTAATCTCTGCAATCTGGTTAGTTTATGTACACCTTCCGGCTTCTGTATAGCCCAATCTGGCTTTCATATATATAATGAAGTACGCATATAATCTCCTTGGACTTGAGATTATACATAACCACTGGTAAATGAATTGTCGTGTACGTTACACTAAAGCATTTCAATGTTCAGATAAAATGGGCCCTGTGCATACACGGATGCTAAACAACGTCAGTTATTTTATTTTTAATGATAAAATGCACAACGAATTAAAATGTGGAAAAAAGATTTTTTACACAAAGTTTATTTGCATTATAAAAGCAGTTATAGGCAATAGATACCTGTTTTCTTAAGAAATTGTTGTAAAAAAACTCTATATTATATGAATTGATCACCAGCTCTGCGACACATGCTCATCGACACACGGCCTTAAACACTCTCCCATCGACACAGAGACAGGCGGGTTCACCCTCTGAAAATCAATTTTAAAAAAAATTACTTTTGTCACTTTATTTACCAAGAGATAAACTCATGTTTGCTAATAGTCCAGTATTCTCAAAAGATATTTTTGACACCTCATCTGAAAAACAACAGAGTATATGAACGTATGAAGAACAGCCAACTGTAGGAATTATATAGTGTAGGAATACATATAGAAGTAAACTGTAGAAATCATATACAAGAAAGCCTGTTCAAAAATCCTCAGGGCAGATTTACCAGTAGTCTACTATCTACAATAGTCCACATCCTGCTGGGTTCTTCAACCCCCCCCCCCCACCTAGCCTTCCAATCCTCCAAGCCTCACGTCTGAACCATTGACTATTCTTTACTACCAAACCTTCCTCTTGCACCTTTCAAAAATATCGACTTAAGAATGGTCCAGGACGGACCGAAACGTCGTCGTCCCTTCACCTTCTAGTGTGTGGTCTGGTCAACTTACTTAAGCCACGTTATTGTGACTCATCGCCTGCTTTCAAAAATATCCTGACCTTTCCTAGCCTAGATCACCAGGACGGGCATCTTCTGATCCTGCCTTGACCAGACTCTATGATAGAACGAAAGACCCTTTTTCCCTTGTGAGAGATCTAAGGAGTCTCCACCAGGATGTTCCTTTCCCCTTATTCATTCCCTTAGGGGTGTGAAGTACGAGGTATCAATATGCTCGCAAATTCGTAAAGTCAATATTGACTTATTAACTACGTGCATAGGTGATATACTAAACATAATAGATACCCTTAAAAAGATTCATAGAAAACACCGACCTTACCTAACCTTGTTAGTATCTTAAGATAAGCAACTTATTGCTTCGTAATTACAATTATTACTTAACCTATACCTATTATAGGTTCGGTAATAAATGTAATTACGAAGCAATAAGATGCTTATCTTAACATACTAAGTAGGTTAGGTAAGGTCGGTGTTTTCTATGAATTTTTTTAAGGGTATCTATTATGTTAAGTATGTCACCTATGCACATATTTAATAAGTCAATATTGACTTATTAAATTTGCGAGAACGGGTTGCAATATGAAGTGACAAACATGACTGAAGAATTAGTAAAGAAATGTATGGTAGTGGATCCTAATATCATTGTATATGAGGAAACTTAAATAAGTGAATTATGTAAAAAAGTACTAAGCCAAAATAACATTACTGCTCTATATTGTATATAATAACTATCCTGTACATGCTGGGCGGGACAGAATGGGTTGGGCACTTTTACTATCACCTAATGCACCTGTTCACCAAGCAAGAAATAGGTACCCAGTAGTTAGTCAGCTTGTTGTGAGGTTACATCCGGGAGAGGAGGTAATTCTCCCCTTGCGGGAGGGGGGGGGAGACCTAAAGATAAGCCTAACATATAATGTATGCATACACTCGCTTCCTGTTCCACGACACAATACATTATAATGGATTATTATATGTATAATGACACTTGCCAGTTCATTAAGAAACAGTGATTTTTGAAATTGATAATATATTTCCTATCTGATAAACTTGTGCATCATTTTTAAGAATTCATTGATATTGATGTAATTGTTTGTAATGAAAGGGATTAATGGAAAGGGCCTTGCTAGTGATCAAGAGCGATTGTTAGAGATTGTTTTGATGTATATGGGCAAACGAGTACGGGGTTCACTACTAAGAACAAAGAGTGAGAAATGTGTTTGAGAAGTTGATGAGATTGACGTCGAGGAAGGGTTGTGGGGTGTGTGGTAATGGCTTCATTTTGAGTGGATAGTGAGGTAGTAGCCAGGCTAGTAAGGGTTGAGGTGAGGACTGGTGGTGACGGTCGACGGGGTGGAGTCTGGGATGATTGGATAGACAAAAACTGACAGAACGTATTTACTTTGTGGTGGCGAGGCGGAGCGTAAACATGGGTGAGGATAGGGGATAGTGGGGGTAAGTGGGAGACGGGAAAGACAGTTAGGTGGGAGGGAGAAGGGGGGGCGTGTGTGAAGGACGCTCCGAACATGGGAGTTAGGGACTGTGTTTGGTGGAAAGGGTGTGGTTGTGTTGTGGGGAGAGGGTGTGGGATGGTAGTGTGGGAGGAGGGGTGTATGGTAGGTGGGGGTGTAGGGAGTGTGTGTGTTCAAGAAGCTGTGGGGAGGGATGGGGAAAGAGTAGCTTGCTGACAAGCAATAGGGAAGAAACGGTTGAATGCAAAACAATGTTACCTATAATGTATGTACTTTACCTATCAATACAGTCACTAGACCTAACTGGGGAGTTTTATCAAGCTCTCTACTGCCCCGCTAACTACCCTTATTGTACCTATTGTATTATAATTTAACTTTACATTAAATCGAATTGTTTGTCGATTCTTGGCCTAAAGATTGTGGATGGAGGGAGGCTTTAACAATCTCTTCTTTCCCTACATTCTAATTGTTGACCATCCGTGTTGGGTGTGAGCATTTCTTTTCTCACGTTGGGAGTATATGTATTTATTAATTGTTGATGCAGGTTCGGGCTGAATTAGCTCTTGGGCCCCGCCTTTCTAACTGGTGGTTGTCTAATTCACTGACTCCCGACCTGTTTCTCTTGTATCATATCTTCTACATATTTCACACACACACACACACACACACACACACACACACACTCTTATCCAAAGGATTTAGCCGTTATGAGCTGTCTAACTTCCAGGTGTCAGTTTACTGCTAGGTGAACAGGGACATCAGGTGACAGAAACTCTGCTCAATTCTCTAGTTTCTACCTCGACCGGGAGGGAGGAAATTATCGGGGGAAAGCGCGAAGCCATTACTACTATATAGCACTTGGAAGGGATCAGGATAAGGATTTGGGATGGGACGGGGGGAAGGAATGGTGCCCAAACACTTGGACGGTCGGGGATTAAACGCCGACCTGCATGAAGCGAGACCGTCGCGTGATGAGATATATATATATATCTCATCAGTCACATAATTGCAGTTTTTTCTTCTGCCGTTTCTCTCTAAGTTTCAGGTGTTTCATTTCACCGCGTAAGTCATTGTCTTGAAATATTCTAGCGACAGTTTCAATTTCTCTTTAGACAGTTTCAGTCTCTCTTAAGACAGTTTCAGTCTCTCTTAAGAGAGTGTCAGTGTCTCTTTAAGACAGTTTCAATGTCTCTTTAAGACATTTTCAGTCTCTCAAGACAGTTTCAGTCTTTCTTAAGACAGTTTCAGTGTCTCTTCAAGACAGTTTCAGTCTCTCCTAAGACAGTTTCAGTCTCTCTTAAGACAGTTTTAGTCCCTCTTAAGACAGTTTCAGTGTTTTATATGATGGGATACAACTTATAACCCTGGACATATTAATAAATTACTTACGAAATCATTTACGAAACCTTTACATCTTCAATCAAGATGGTTTCGTTTATATATTTATTCATACAGTTTATCAGCTCTGAAACACTACAGGATTGTTTATAGCAGTAAACAACCTCTACAAGACATTTTCGAAACTCATAAACTGTTTATTAAATATAAACAGAGCCGCCAGGATTGTTGAAAGATGTACAGGTTTCGTAATTAGATGTGTAAATGGTTGATGAATCTATGTGATTGACTCCTAAGGGCACACACACTAGCTGTTAGGAGTGAGGGTGTGTGAGTAGTCCAGGTACGCAAGTTCAATCCCATTTAATTCACTCAATAGTTTCTCCTGGGTGAAACATATTGTGGCTGTTGTGTGTCTGCAGGAGTAGACTTTGCGTTTCCAGGAGTAGACTTTGCGTCTCCAGGAGTAGACTTTGCGTCTCCAGGAGTAGACTTTGCGTCTCCAGGAGTAGACTTAGCGTCTCCAGGAGTAGACTTTGCGTCTCCAGGAGTAGACTTTGCGTCTCCAGGAGTAGACTTTGCGTCTCCAGGAGTAGACTTTGCGTCTCCAGGAGTAGACTTTGCGTCTCCAGGAGTAGACTTTGCGTCTCCAGGAGTATACTTTGCGTCTCCAGGAGTAGACTTTGCGTCTCCAGGAGTATACTTTGCGTCTCCAGGAGTAGACTTTGCGTCTCCAGGAGTAGACTTTGCGTCTCCAGGAGTAGACTTTGCGTCTCCAGGAGTAGACTTTGCGTCTCCAGGAGTAGACTTTGCGTCTCCAGGAGTAGACTTTGCGTCTCCAGGAGTAGACTTTGCGTCTTCCCATGCCTCTCACCTTCACCCCACTCATCTCAGCCCAGCTGATCTCTCTACCTCCCCTGGATTTCCCCCTTGCTAGTCACTACAGCCCTGTGAATCTGTGTTGGATTTGATCCCTAACGGGCAAAACATTACATCATATTCAAATCTATTCTCATTTTCATATTTCTCTCCCAGGCTCCAACCCACAATAGACTTGTGATTCACTGCCAGGTGAACAGGGCATCTGCCCTAAGGAAATATTCCCAAGTGTATCGTCGGGCCTGGGAATCGAACCTGGGACCATTCGGTTGTGAGACTTTGGTCACTGAACACTGAACCATCTCGGAGACTGCATTACTGTATCACTGCCGGGCCCAGTTTAAATAAATTTAGTGTCATGTATTTCAGTCCCTTCAATTCCAGTTCATCTCTCAATCCCACAGTCATTGAAGCTTAATTCGTTCATAGGTTCTTTGCCTTCTCAGTCACAATCAACAGTTCAATACAGCTCTAATCACACACTCACTCAAACTGCATTCGCTGCCCACATGCACTCACTCTAGCTTCATGTACTCAAGTTGAAGTTGGTTGAGCTTCTTTCACTCAAGTAGCTGTTGCATCATCCATTCCTGCCTCCATCTTGCAAGAGTGCTCCGCCCTCAGCACAAGCACACATCCCCAGCAGACATCTCCTGCATCCCTTAAATGGTTCCTACCTTGGTTGCTCTATACCACCTATTGGAAGCCCTGTGCACCCTGCCACCACCTTTTAAAAACCTGTTCACCCCATCACTCTGCTTGCTGTACCTGATCTACACCCCACCAGGATCACAGATTGTCAATCACACCACCCTTAGTGTCTGGCTTGAATCTACCTGCGGTTCAACCCAGATCCACTTCCCCCATGAGATAGTTACACCCATTGCCATGATAATCAACTATTCGTTAACTACACCTACTCCAGCATACCTACACTTCCTCTCCGCCCATCAGGACATGCTCCACCCTCCGTCCCATGCTCCCCCCTACCACACCTGCTGCTCCCTGTGTAGCGCCCCCCGCTGCTGGAACAAGTTTGTTCCAGCCTTGTGAGTGTGTCGGTGTCAAGGTGAGCAACTGAAGCTGCCCACAGCGGCCTCAGCAACACCAGAATTGACTCATATGTATACTTCAGGTGCCGCTACATTCGCCACTACGACGGCCACCATCTGGAGACTCTCCTCTTCTAGTGCTGGTACCTCTACCTGCGCTCGAGGTATTTCAACTACCACTACTAATTGTGACTACCACTTCTACCTGTATCCCACTCTATTACAACCACCACTACCACCATCTCTCCCATTTAACAATCGCTTGCATAACCACAATTAATAATTCTAGTTTTAAAAGCACCACCAAAACTCGAAATATCAGAGTGATATCATATAAGAGATAATTTACGTAATATACAAGGGCTCGTTTCCTGTCACCTAATGCCTCTGTTCACCTAACAGTCTCCTAGCCCTCACAATGAGGAATCAAAATTTTAACTTACCGTTATGAGTAAAGTAAGGAAATTATCAGGATAAAACTCTATGCCATTACAACTATTCCGCACTTGGAAGGGATCAGGATAAGGATATGTGACGGGACGAAGGAAAGGAATGGTACCCAACCACTTGGATGATAGGGGGATTGAACGCCGACCTGCAAGAAGACTGCAGTCGGTCGCTTTACCGTCTAGTCCACATAGCCAGATGGGTACAGATGTTACAAATGAATACTCCAAAATTCTATAAGATGGAATTTATCGGAACTCCATGGTCGGGGGTTCGAGTCTCACCTAAGAGCTCCAGTTGATTTTCTCATCTTTATCTGCGAATTGTTAAATGAATTTAACAAACTACGAAATATTTTGACGAAGGGAACAGCAGTAAAACAAGTACTTTTACACTGCATCAATCCTGCATACCCATGTACATGGGGAAACAGGCTCATAGGCTCCAGAGGCCAGATTCACGAAGCAGTTACACCAGCACTTACGAACCTGTCCATCTTTTCTCAATCTCTGGCGGCTTTGTTTACAATTATTAAATAGTTAATGAGCTCTGAAGCGCCAGGAGGCTGTTTATAACAATAACAACAGTTTATTGGCAAGTTTTCATGCTTGTAAACTGTTTAATAAATGTAACCAAAGCCGTCAAAGATTGAGGAAAGATGTACATGTTCGTAAGTGCTGGCGTAACTGCTGGCGTAACTGCTTCGTGAATCTGGCCCCAAAAGTTGAGAGGAAATGAAATTTCACTGAGAAGAAAATACGCAACAGACCACTGGAACATTATCTAACAGAGTGAAGAGTTACAAACCAAAAAAGGAGTTCAAGTGAAATTTAACAGCGCAGAAGTAGAAGTTAAACACAGTGGGCTTAATCTTACTGAATCCAACCTACGAGTCATAAACAGATATCATCCACCGCGTAAGTAAGACACAAATGAGTAACACTTAATAGGATAGCCAGAGGCTTAAGGCTCGCACAGGATTATCCCTGCAAGAAAAGAACACAAAAATATCCAGAAGTCGCTATCTCCCTGGCTATGATCCACACAACTATCACTACCAACACACTTGTTATTACAACCACTATCTCAGTAACTACCACAATCAACAACTTTATAACCAGTTATAATCCTATCACCACTATTGTTGCCACAACAATCACCAACTCACGTTACACTATAACCCTTAAATCCCTACTTTCACTGCTACAACCCCCTCCGTCACCTCTCGCCTCAATCTTGAGGTTATCTTGAGATGATTTCGGGGCTTTAGTGTACCCGCGGCCCGGTCCTCGACCAGGCCTCCACCCCCAGGAAGCAGCCCGTGACAGCTGACTAACACCCAGGTACCTAATTACTGCTAGGTAACAGGGGCATAGGGTAAAAGGAAACTCTGCCCATTGTTTCTCTCTGGCTCCCGGGATCGAACCCGGGACCACAGGATCACAGTCCAGCGTGCTGTCCGCTCGGCCGACCGGCTCCTAATACGTCGCATTCTGTACGGAATCAACCAATCCGCTAAATTTGTAAACAAATTGGTCAAGTGAATGCAGTGAATAAATATGAATGTTAACGTTTTCTTTGCATCAACCACAGTAGGTTAGAGGGGTTAATTGGGTTTGTAGGTTTCTGATTGGGGTAAAAATTTGGATTGGATTATGGAGTAGCAATTCAAGAAATTGGCAGATTAATCAACCAAACTCGATCATATGGCTATGCACTCTGTTCATTTGTATAGTTGGTACGTATGTTTAGTGATAGAGGCGATGGGAGTGTGTAGTAACTACAGCCTCTATTGGATTGGTCAGTACAGCAGCGACATTGGTTCTTGCAGGTCGGCGTTTGATTCCCAATAATCCAAGGGTTTGTGCACCGTTCCTTCACCCGCGATGTGACGGCGGGTGGGTTTCTGTGCGACCACATGTAGGTTTCAGAGCATGAACGTGTGTCGGTTTCGTCATGAGACTCAAATTTTAATGTACACAAAGGAGCATTGGGAAGTAAATTTTTTACGTTTTGAGTTCAGGTACTCAAAACCAACATTATAGACGAGTCCTCAGGACTATTTACACAACTTGAAGTAGGACGCAAAATGAGTAATTCTTGTTTAATACAGTACGAGAAGGATTGAACATTTATAGTGTCTCGGTTATCATATATCATTGAAAATCAATTAGCACACCATAAACAAATTCACGTTTGTCATAGAAGTAAGTCTAGGTTTTTCTCTCTGTCGTTTACCTCCCTATTTTATACAGTAAAGAAGAAATTGTGAGTTAGTGAATACTTCTTCTGATTTTTTGCCTTTAAAATACCCAATTTGATTTTTGGTTTTTGTGAATGTGTTTTGTCCTTGTGACCTATTTTAGCCATCAAGTTGAATCCCTATTTGCTGCCGGACAATTACTCATTTTTGCGTATTACTTCAAGTGGTGTAAATATCTCTGAAGATTCATCTCTAATGTTGATGTCGAGGACCGAACTAAGTTTAATTTTACCAGTGACTACCTCAGCAAGTTTAGGCAAATACTTTGTCTGACAAGAAATCACATACACTTAATTTGGCGATAATTTGGAGTCGATGATTCTCTTTTGGTATATTGCAATTGCTGGGTCACGGTTTTGAGCCTACATTCATCACACTGCAAGTGTTGTGGTGTTCTGCAACTTGCACACGCTTAAGGTATACCAATTATCCTAACTGTTGGAAAAATATTGCACGAGTCTCCGTGTCATTGTAAATCAGTTCAGGGTTATTTTGAGCAATCTACAGCATCCACGAATCCTGCCTGACATTCAAGGAGTTGTTATTTATAACAAAAATATTTTTGTAACCATATATATATATATATATATATATATATATATATATATATATATATATATATATATATATATATAAAATATCAAAGTGTTCAGTGAGGATTATCATTATTTTCTTCTCCGAGGCTATGGGTCCCTACACTTGCACCGGAGGTGGTACCCCTTTTAAGTTATAATAATAATAATATATATATATATATATATATATATATATATATATATATATATATATATATATATATATATATATATATATATATAGCTTTATATTCTACAATAGTTTCACCTTCTCGCTTGTAAACACAGATACACTATCACCATACAGGATCTGCGAATGCTTATGAATTATCTTATTAATCTAGAACAATTTACAAGTCTTATTTCAAAACCTATAACTGCTTAAAAGTTTGAATAGAAGTGCCACCGAGGCTCCTGTTTCTAGGATATACGATAGCTAGCCATTGTAGCACCAGGGGAAATGATGAAAGCCTGATTGCTAGAGATATCGCCTTTTTCATTATCGTGAATAACGATTGAACACAGAAAGAAGATAGTGAGAGGCGCAGCTGAGGGTGTTTCACTTGCATTGTCTGGCGTGTGTATGAGAAACCGAACCGTAGAGCCATAATATATTCTTACGGGACTATTCACGCTGTCATTGGAAAGTGGCTGCATTATTATACAATCGCGAAGCATTGTATAATTATAAATAATTACTATCGCGAAAAAAGTATATTTT